TTTGATATGCAATGTGGGCTGCTGGCTTGTCACTGTTCTTCACTTCTTCCAACGATTTCACGATACCCCTGGGCTTTGCCTTTCTCTGGGCAACCAAAAGCTTCTTTTCTTTTTCTACATTGCTACAATGACCAGCTTGCCTGATATTGCCTGCTGCAGTGGCCACGATTTCGACGACATGGCGTTTGAGCGGTTGATGGGATTGGTGTCCCATCGCGTGCGAGTGTACTGCCTAGATTCTACAAAGTATAAAAACGGAAAGGCGATTACTGCATATCTTCTTCAAGTAGTCACTTCGATATGAATGAGTATATTCAGCAACACAATGACCTCTCCCCAGTGATCCTCCGTACTCTCATTCCGTTCAGCTCAATCGATCCAGGTTTCGATAACGCGGACCCTGCTACTCCACCGACGTCTTTGGGATCACATCTCGCTTACCGACTTCGTCTAGCAATCCCCACATCCTGTCACACGTCAAGTCAGCCCCAGACGGGTATCACACAGCATGCGATACTCTCATTGGCTCACGGAAAGAATGCCCGGATTGAAGCTATCTTGGTCCCGAGGTATAGGACAACTGTTTAACGCCCGCGGAATTCAACGGTTCGCATCCCAACATAGCTTTCCTGCCGGCCATGACAATTGATACGATTAGCCTGCCACCTGACAATTCGGCCCTTCTCAACGGCGCGATCTTCCGCGCCGTAGGACTGTCCAGAAACAGACATACAAGCAGCTAGCCTAGCAATGATGCGCTTCCAGTTACCCATTGCAGGTACGCGGTGGGTCAACTCGCTACTCTGGCCCCATCAGTGACGTTCGAAGCCGAGCAGCGCGCGCGAAATTTCTACCCCTAGAAACAGGCAACCGTGGCATCACGGGATTCGCACTCATGGTTCAGCTGCCTTCGCTCTCCTATGGAACACACACTGAACATTACCACTCGAAACCCCAACAGACACCTGTTCGAAGCCGAGCACGCTAGATCTTCAGCTCGCGTAGAGTTTTGATGGTTTACCACATATGGGATGCTACGATGTGCTGAGCTATGAGTCGTATGTCATACTCGCCAGGGAATAAGACCCACTGTTGCAGATGTCGTTCAGAGCAGAGTACCTGAGTGGGATACGACAGGTGTGTGCAGAGATAGGGAAGTCTGTATGCCTTCGTACGCGTATCCGCAGTAGCATTCCCGGAAATTGCCTACGTAATTTTACATGGCAGGAATGATTATGCATATTATGAGCAGCATGACGAAGCTCCAACATTCTTCCTTCGCGAGCTTTACAAGTTTTCTGTACCTTCATTAGCTACGGACGAGTTTGCCTATCGCGTAGCATACGACACCCTGTTCATGCGAGGTGAAGATCCGGGTTCCTCCATCCTCTCTCCCCCTGGTTAGCGTACTCAGAATTCCGCATCTTTCACCCTTGACACCGTCGTCTCCAGCTGACGACGGGGTCCCGTTATTGCGTCATATCAGCCGATTCTACCAGGCCTAAGTTGCATTGCTGCTTCCCGTTCACAGGGATCCCAGTCTTGGCCAGAAAAAGGAAGTAATAGACTGACGGAACACTTTGTCGCGAAGATGCCTCGCTTGATTAGTATACGTAAGGGATTGTGAGGTAATGGGACGGGACAGGATACTGCAGATAAGCGAATCGAAGTAGATTCCTCTTGCGATCCTTTCTTGGGAGGCGGAGAATACGAGCCTGTGTAGTAAGCCTCATTGCGAAGCCATTACCTGACGTCTCTTAACGTCTCCACGACTCCGCACGACGACAACGAAATTCTCTGCTCAAAAGTGACGACCTTGCATTAACTACCCCTTGTCAAAATTCAGTAAGCATGTCTGTCACTTTACATGTATACGCGAAGTCCGTCGATCGTCTACAAAAGGCAACCCATCTCCCATTGGCCAGGGAGCACTTTTCCGGCGCGACCTCGGACAGGCCGTCCAGGGCCTCCACTATCCCACGAGGCATGCAGCTTGCAGGCAAGAAATCTCAATTCGGTTCTTCTTACGTATATTCGCCTCCGAAACAGGAATCTCGCATGGAAGTATCTCGGTAGATAGCAGATGAAGATGAGCGCCCGTAACCCACAGGTGGATACATGGAGTGAGTGGAGATACATAACGTCATAAGGCTGAAGGGGAGCCACACAACACCAGATTCTTCTCTGCCTCCAAGCAAGGAAGGGGAGGCGACTTTCACCGTTGAATGCCAATCTCACAGTTCTCTGGAGAAAGCGCTAACGGGCTGCGCGGTGGCGAAACGGTCGGTACGTGGCTACTTGTTCTGGAAGGGAACGTTGGAACGATTCGAAGCGGGCTCTTGGGCCGTGGGCCATAGGATCATGGTTGATATCGCGCTTGGGTGCTGTACCCGCACTTTGTGAATTGCTGGGATAAGTTCTTTTACTGTTGTAAACGGTAGATCTACTGTACATCAAGTGCTTTCATGTAGACTCGTCTGGGCAGTGGCATTCGTCGCGCAAGCATTGCGATCCTGACAAAGTGCTAGTTTGTCCATGTTGGTACCTAGGTATCTTTGACATCCCTCTACGTCTCGATTCAAGACACGACATGGAAACTACACTGCTACGCTCGTACCAGATCCAGACACTGGCTACACATAAAGGCTGGGCTCATGCTTCAGAGCAGGCTGATTCCACCCAACTCCTCTCTCTGCTCTGTTTCTCCGCGCACACACACGCTCTTGTACTGCATATACAGTAGCGTACATTCCATCTAGACCACGACCGCCAGCACTCTAGCCGGCGTCCAATAGCTCCTACCAGAGAAAAGCAAGTGCGCGTGAAGCAAAAACGTCCACATGGAGCAACTTGTTGGCAAAGTGTTGATGGCAGTGGAGACTTTGCCCGGTGCGATACAGACGTGTCCGTGAGATTGGCGGTCATGGCTAGCGGGTCCGGGGGTGTAGTGGTACCTGTTTGACTCGTTTCGTAAGATTCTGTGCTGTAGAAGGTGACGCTGGCGTCCACATAGATGGGCATGATTGAATGAGATGTCGTTCGTACGGGATGGTTGCTTTCGTGACATGTATAGAATCTACTGGGTCAAAGGCGTCTTGAAAACTAGCGCGACATGGTCGTCACCCGCCGTGACGACTGTCTCGCCATCTCCCTGTACAAAGGCCATGATACCTCCGCCTTCACCACCTCCCCGGTGTCCCTTCCACTCGCCTACAAGGCCCTTTCCAGCCGCAGCCGTTCCACCTCGTGCATCCCATCGCTTCAAAACACCGTCGTATCCCACACTGGTCAACAGCCAACCTCCGGGGCCTTCCTTGGCGACGAAGTCGAGCTTAACGACAGCTTGTGGTGACTCGTCATCGGCGTGTGCGTCTTCTATCCGCCTTCGGACGGCGAAGCGGTGTGCGGTGTCGAAGAGGGTGATGGAGCCGTCGACATTACCGGCGGCCATGAGTGTGAGGGGTGCGGAGGAGAAGCTCATGCACTCGACGTTGTCGCTTCCAGCTTGGAGACTCGCCAAGATCTGGCCAGCTTGGCCAGCTGACGAAGCACCGCCTTTGGCGCCAGCCTGCTTGCCTCCTCCAGCTTTGTTCTTTGCGCCTCCGCCGCTCGATGATGTAGATGCTTGCGCGGGCGCAGCGAGAGAAAGACGGGGGAGTCCGACGATGCGGATTTGGCCTTCGGGGCCACCGACCGCGACGAATGCGCCCGAGGGCGGGATGCCGACTGAGTATAGTCCGCCCTCAACGCGGAAGCGCTCGTCCAGGCCTGTCAAACCAACCACGGCTTGCGAATCGGTGGTCGCTGTAAGACCTTGGGATGCAGCATCGCCAAACACGTCCCACACGTATAGACTCGAGTCTTCGGAGATGGTAGCGAGGAGCGAGCCGTCGGGCGACCATGTGCCGGCAGTGCAGGTCTCGGTGTGGAGGTAGTATGCTTGTAGGACCTGTAGCTCGTTGTTCTTTTCTGTGCTGATCTGGTATACCCACACTGAACCGTCGTTGGCTCCGAGCGCGACGACGTTGGGGTGGTCGGGCGACGGGTTTGGGATGACCCAGTTGATCTCCTCGACCTCTTGTGCCTCTGCCAGGAACTTCCACTTCTTGCCGTCGGGGACGCCCTGCCAGACGCGCAGTTTTCCGTCCAAGCCAGCTGTCGCGACGAATTGACCCTTTGGCTGGGTGAATGTGATGGCGTTGACCGAGTCCTTGTGTCCGTCTAGTGTGAAGATGCTCTTGAGGCCCTCGCGCTCGGTAGGCTGTCCGTCGCTGCTCGGTTGCGCCGCTGCGGCTGAAGACGCGTCGATGATATAGCCGACATCGTCGCCGCCTCCTGTCGCGATGATCTCGTGGTGTACGGGGTGTTGCGCTATGCAGAAGATGCTGTCCTTGTGCTCGTCGAAATGTGCGACCGAGTCGTTTTGGAGGTTGATCTCCATCTCCATCTCTTGGCGACCCTCGTCACCCTCGTCGTCTGAGTCCATGGGCACGTCGCCATCGTCCTCCACAATCTCTTCCGCCTCCTCGGCGTCTAGGGTATTGTCCACATCATGTACGTCGATGTCGTCCTCGTCGTGCTGGGGCTGGTTGGGCGTCGGGTTCGTGATGGCCATTTTGTCGGCAATCTGATTCGATTTTTGAAATGTGTGAGAGATCTGGGTACAAGAAAGCGCGCACTGCTATTTGCGCGAAGTTATATGACGGAGCGCAGTTCGTTGCTTAGAAATGTAAAATTGCACCTTCTTCGAGTAACTTTTCTGATCCAAGACCCTGTCGGAGGGGCACAAACGCCGACCCCACCACGCCCTCACACGTCATTTGTCATCCATGCCTTTCGTGGTACGGGCTACATTGGAAATCATACTCGCCTTCAAGCAGATTGATACACATGCGAAAATCGTTCTGTATGTGTTATACACAACGTCGCCTCTGCACTCCATCATTGGCCAGGCCCTTCCTCTTCCATCAATGAGCAGCTAGTCCACATGGACAGGCTGATCATGCGCCAGTTTCCTCTCCGAGCCTTTCCAAAAGCCGAGCTAAACGCTCGTCAACCTTTGCGGATGCTTTACGCATATCTGCGGCTTCCTGAAACAGTACCAACAGCTCTTTCCGGGTATCCTCATGTAAAATGTCTCCATGTCGCGCTTCCCCGCTCAACGTCTCGGGGATAGCATTCAGCGGTGTTCCTCTCTCCACATCTGGGTCCGGAGGTGTTCGTGTTGAAGCGGCTTCGTTCGCAACCGCAAGTGCCTGCAGCCTTGAGTGAAGATCCGTGGCAATATACCTTCGAAGCCATTCGCGTTCGCTAATATAGCTTTGATCCGCCGCAACAGTGCTTGATAATGCGTAAGTCCCATAGCACACACACAGTCCGACGATGTAAGTGATAAATACAGCGCGGCTGCCGTTATCTCCCGCTGTTTCATCCAAGCTTTGAGTCCAGGTGAACCCTAGGTAGATACCTAACCCCACCAAGAAGGAGTTGAGTGAGAAGGATAGAAGCATGTTCGGCGCTGAAACAGTGATAACGGAGGCTACAGAAGCGACTTTTGTAGGATTGCTCAAGGCCCATTCCGTCTTCTTCTTCTTCTGGTTTTGGATCCACGCTTTCACTTGCTCAGCGTACAAACAGCGCCCCAGGACACGGTACTGCTTCGTCGCATAGTAAACAGCTATAATCGATGAGACCAGACTCGAAATGAAGAAGGCGCGAGCAGTCCAGTGCATCCGGCTCAGGTTTTCTAGGGATAGTGCAGTGATAGCAATCTGGGCAAGGATGGTGGCCTGGGTTAGAGTTAGATTACTGCGCCTTGGAAGTTTAGATTTCCTATACTTACAGCTACGGCTATGATACTGCTCTCTTGCTGGATCGACTTTTTGAAATTTATAGCGTCTGCATCATCAAGACTGCCTAATACCTGCATCTGCATTTGCCACACCTCTCGGCTTCCAAAGATCCATATGAAGATACCTGATGGTCCGTAGCGTGATGTGAAGAAATACAGGGTTTCTACCGTCTTGATCGGCGCCCGGGCTACGGCACCGGACAATTTGTATGCCTCATCGATCGCTTCAATCACATATGACATCGCTCCAAGCACTGCAAGGGCTTCGGCCATTTTCTGGATAGTCTTGTGGTTAGTAGAGACGATAGATGCTTTGACACTGTGTTGGTGGCCGATGATTTTCTCAAGTGAGCACAGGGGAGAAAGGTGATTTACGATTGCCCCGCAGAAGGCTGAGCAAGGCTGAAGTTTCTAATACAGCTACGCCGCATGGTGGTACCCCTGCATCCTTCGCATGAACAGTGTAGACTGTATCTTGATCCTGTTGTGTCCAATACGGCTTAGAGCCTTTGTAAGACACCTATTTCATCAATGTAAAAACGCTTTGCATGAGGTGAAGTTTTGTCTCTACAGCCTTGCCCTAGGCTCGTCCTTAACAACAAACCCAAACTTCCCGCTCTTCTCCTTGTCCCTTAGCACTCTCCTCAGAATCTTGCCGGAAGGGCTCTTCGGAATCTCATTGATGAACTCCACTTCCTTGACCCACTTGTATCTGACCTTCTTCTCCTTGACATACGCGATGATGTCTTTCCCGATCGCTGTACTCTCTTCCGTTCCCGGCTTCAATGCAACGTACGCTTTCGGCAGCTCACCAGAGTAATCATCCTTGACGCTCATCACTGCGACATCTTCGACCTTCGAATGGCCCAGAAGCAAGTCTTCGAGTTCAGCCGGCGCAACACCAATGCCCTTCACTTTGATCAATTCCTTGATACGATCGGAGATGTGAATCATGCCCTCTTCATCAATGGCACCGCGATCGCCAGTATGAAGGAAGCCATCAGCATCGAAAGTGTCGCGAGTAGCTTTCTCATTGTTGAGGTAGCCCATGACAACTTGTGGCCCACGAGCGAGAACTTCGCCATCCTCTCCAACGTCGCCTTCCGTGCCATCGTCTTTGATGATCTTGACTTCGGTCGAAGCTACGATCGCACCACCAGAGTGAGCGTACTTGTACGAGAACTTGGAAGGGGGATGCGCGGTAATGCATGAACAAGACTCCGTCATCCCGTAGCCTTGTTTGAACCCGGTATTGGGAAACTTCTTCTGAAGCTGCTGAATGATCTCTTCCGAGAGTGGTGCGGCGCCCGATGAAAAGCGTGTGACATGGCTGAGATCGTACTTGTCGACCAATGGGTCGCGCACGAGTCGGATGAGAATCGGTGGTACCAGTAGAAGCTCGCTAAGCTTGTACTCAACGATGACATCCAACATCTTCTCCATCGTGAATTGTGGGAGCATGACGACCTCGGCATTAAGCAAGACCGGCAGATGCATCTGATGGACGAGACCTAAAATGACGGTGTACGAAGTCAGTGTATATCTCCCACGCAGTTCGTACACGGGAGATCTTACCGGTAATGTGGAATAGTGGCAGTACGGCCATGATCTTTTTCTGGGTTTCAGGCGTGATCTGCTGTACCTGAAGGCATTGCGCTATGACATTCTGGTGACTGATCATCACAGCCTTTGGCAAGCCAGTCGTTCCAGAGGAGAAAGACAGAAAACCGCAAACGTCCTTGTTCTTCTTGCCAGGAGGCAGCTTGAATGCGGATGTCTGCCCGGAGTCGCCATACGACTCTCCCATACGGATTAGATCCTGAACGGTGGTGTATTCAGGTAACTCGCCCTCCAGTAAGAACACATTGGACTGCGGTAAGCCTGCAGCCTTTGCGCTCGCAGCTGCGATCTCCATACTACCGGGTGTAGTCATCAAGAACTTTGCGTCCGCGGTCTTCAGCGCGAATGTCATCTCTTCAACGTTGTATGCTGGACTAGCACCGCTGATCTTCGCTCCTACGCGGAGTCCTGCAAACATCGCTACCGGGTACCAGACAGTATTCTGGCTGAACAGCGCCACTGTCTCGCCTTCTTTGAGGCCATACTTCTTGACCAGCGCAGTAGATATATAGGTGGAGTATTTCTTCACATCAGCCCAGTTCACACGCTCCTTCGTGATCGCGTTTTGGAACCCAGCTAGTTCGTTCGGTGGGTATTTGTTGATAGGCGAGTAGGCGGAGTCGAAGAGCCAGTCCCAGTCCGTCAATTCGGTTGGTACTATAGCGGTCAGCATCAATGATAATGCATTGGCATGGTAGATTCGACTTTTGACAACTTACGATCGATAGGCGGCTGCCTGGACTTGAAGATTACCATATTGATGCAATTGGCTCCGCAATGGATCGCAAACGGCACGCGACTTATAACCGGATAAACTGATGCGAGGAAACCAGCGCTGTAGAATCGTACTGAAAAGCGCAGTACAGAAGGTGACGGGTCAAGAAGCGAGTGACCATGGATGGACTGCCTCCATGCCTTCTAATAGGCGACTGCCACCATTCCTCCTCGGCGCGCTCATCTCTATCGGATTCGCAGCGCTCGAGTCGCTCATGGAGCGGGGATAAGGTGCAAGGCGGGGAAGGAGCAGCTCCCGAGCTATCTGAAAGCGGTTAAGATCGGCAGTCCTTCTGACGTTATTTCGGGTAACATCCGAGCCAGGGTGTGTAAGAGCCGCTTCATTGCCACACACCAATTCATCTTGTTACGAAGTTTGAGTGGAACTTCAAAACCATTAGTAAACAGAGTTCAGATATAAGGAGGCCCATACCCAGACAGCTACCGCGACTTCCAAACCTCTCACCACGACTAGCCGAACCGATCCACCATCTCCACAACCAACATGTCCGACGCAGGAGACTCGCAACAAGACCCTATCTTGAAAGTAGAAAGCAACAAAGATCTCAGAATCACTCTCATCGGCACCGGAACCATTGGCCTATCTTTCGCCGCATTCCACCTCTCACACCTCCTCGGCCCATCTCAACTCACCATCTACGACACCCGGCCAGATGTCGACCAATACGTCGAAGAAAATCTACCGAAATTCTTCGCAGAAGAACCCGCCGCAGCCGCTATCTCCAACATTCGCATCGCCAAATCCCTCGAATCAGCTGTAGAAGACGCCCACATCATCCAAGAATCCGGTCCGGAGAATCTCGCCTTTAAGAAAGAGCTATGGGCGAACGTGGAGAAACATGCACCAGAGCACTCGCTTTTTTGGAGCAGCACATCTGGTATTCCGGCGTCGCAACAAGCGCAAGACATGCAGGACAAGTCGAGGTTGTTGGTCGTGCATCCATATAACCCGCCGCATATCATGCCGTTGCTGGAACTAGTGCCGTCGCCGGATACCTCGGAGGAAGTCATCAAACGGACGCAGGAGTTTTGGACGGGTCGTGGGAGAGTACCGATACATATCAAGAAAGAGACGACTGGCTTTGTGGCGAATAGACTGGCATTTGCGCTGTTGCGCGAAGCTATTCATCTAGTAGACGAGGGCGTTGTTTCGGTGGAGGAGCTGGATAGCATTGTAGAAAGTAGTATGGGGCCACGGTGGGCAGTTGCTGGCCCGTTCAAGAGCTATCATGCTGGCGGTGGACCGGCGGGACTAGAAGGCTTCTTTAAGAATATTGGGGGTACGGTGCAAGATTGTTGGCGTGATGCGGGGAAGCCGAATGTTGGAGACGGATGGGAGAAGAAGATCTTCAAGCAGTCGCAGGATGCATACGGTACTGTGGATGTTGGTGAGCGCGATAGGTTGACGCGAAGAGTATTGGAAGTGTTGAAGGAGGAGAGAAGCAAAGGCGCACAAGCCTCAGAGAACTGATGGCGTCAAAGACTAAGCAACAAATTTATCGCATGAAAGAGAGGTGAGAGTCTACGACGCACTAGTACATCTAAACGATAAGGTACAAGCTGGTGATGACACTAGGTCCAATGAAGAGACCAAACCAAAACACGATGTTCCCCAACGTATCTCTCCCTTTCATGAATTTCGTCTTGCTGAACGCTGCCAGCGGCAGCTGCGTCAACTGGAACGTAAATAGATATCCCCTGACCTTCTTGAATAAACAGAACATGAGAACTTCATGCACAATAGCGCTGAGTAAGAAAGTGAAGAACGTTGCCTGCATCTTCGATAGATGGAAGAACGAGATCGAGGAGTGGTAGACATGCCGAAGCAGGAAGTTGTGGACGGGTCGGTTCCAGTCGCGAGCGTATTGATCGAAGGATACGGAGTTCCACCATGCGCCGTAGAAACCGCGGTCGGCGAATCGTGTGACTTCGGCCAACACGTTGAGTAGACACTCCCATATGACGTACCAGCTGAGAAGCTGTTCGAGGAGAAGGGGGAAGAGCATATCGGATACTATAAGGGGAGCTCATTAGCGGTATATTCGACGGTCTCATAGTGATGTGGCACTTACCAACCCATGGAAACTCTTTCCATCGCTCATCGAGCGACATGCCAGCCTCTTTGTGTCGCATAGTCTCTACGACCACAGGATAGATGTATGCTTGCGAGATGATGATCATAATCCAAATCACTCCCAAGGTAGCCGCTGACTTCTCCGCGACGTACCACCAGTTGATGCGTTCCTGGCGGGGGTACTCTAGATCGTAGACAAGTGTGGGAAGGCAAGCCCACTCTACAAAGTTGTAAAACGTCAAATTGTTCGGGTAGACGTTATCAGTGGTAGTGCACTTTCCACGGAGCTCTTCATCGAGAATCGTGATCTCAGTGTTGAGCACCCGTCGGAAGGCTTCAATTTGCTCCGAATCCAGCGGGTTCCCAGTTTCAATAGCTTTGCCGATAGACGCAATCTCGGACTCTTCTTTCGATAGATTAGTAGAATACTTTGGCCCAACACTTCCTCGACGCGTCAACTGGCCTTGATCCGAGCTATCAAGACCGGAAGCAGTCAGCGCCTCAGTCGGAGGATTTGTTTGGGTCGGGCCCTCCTGCGCTTTGATATCATCGAGCTGCCGTAGCTTCTCACGCAGCAGATTGCGTCGTCGATACACTCGCGATACTATTGATGGTCAGCTCAGCTCTCCTAATCAAGTGCGGATCACATACAGTAGCCGTTGTAGAAAGAGTAGGCGTGTTGCTTCATTAGCAACACAAAGACGTGTAGGACGATGAATACGGTATGAGTCCAAGGCCAGTCCCGCCAGAAAGTAACCCATATGATGGTGCAGGTGAAGAAAGTCTGCCACAAGGACTGTATGAGCCAGCCTGAGCCATTCCAAGTCAGATAGTCGTTGGCAATGGCCTTGTGCAGGAAGAAGCCAAAGCTGGTTGCTACACACATTGCGACATCAGTCGTCAACATGACGAACAAATCTTTGTCGATCATCAAGTGCAGAATTTCTGCATCTCCAAATACGGAGCCTTTCGTCCTGTAGTTACCTGCTGCTATTCGCGCGAGTAACAAAGCCATCGCAATCCAGAAGAGTGTGAAGAATCCATGGAATGGGGAGTGCGCCGCGGACGCGTTTTGGCGATCGAACGTGGTAAATTGTTGTGTGAAGACAAGATCGCGCGGTTTCCCTTTGGTCTTCCCATTGAGTTTCTCGGCCTCTCGCCGCAGACCTGACTGGAGAACCTCTTGGAATACCGGATCTTTGGCAGTGAAGGTATATTCGCCTTTCTTTCCCGATTGCTCTAAAACAACCTGGATGCTCTTTCTACGGCCTCTGGGGTTCTCGACCAACTGCGTTTCTGAACCACTGTCATCGGATGGTATCGCTGTTGTGCTTCTGCTTCGTGAGTCTGCTGCTTGCTCATCGTTCGGACTTAATGTTGTTGCGCCGTCCACATCCAGTGTTTCCGATGCTGCGTTGGCCGTCCACGTGTCGTGACTACCGAGCGCGGGTCGCGTCGAGAGTCCCTGCAATACCTGTGCCATTGCTGATTTCTCGTGCGCCAGGAGTATAAATAGGGTTATTGAATTTCTAACTTCCTGTCTGTGTCGTCCTTAGTAGTTTGCGATTTGGAGATGGGAACGCGGCAGTCTGAGGATATATACCGGATGTCCGTGGCTGGTAGGGAGACTTGTGGCGTGGGTCCCTTGTAACGGAATCATCGGAACAGGTGGATGTTGCGAGCTCACGGCCAGATGTAAGACGACGGCCGAGCTATGATAAGATGAATCAGAGCAGCTGACCTCCTATCCTCCGAAAGAATAGATGCGCGTGAATGAGACGCGCCGGGTGATGGATATTGGTTGAGGCGACGAACATGATGTAATGCCGCGCCCTGCATCGCGGAAACTGATCCGCCCACTGCACTAGCCACGTCACGTGAAGCTCCAGCCACTCGCAAGGCTAAATTGCCCGGGCGATCACCTGGTCACCTTTGGGCGGCCTTCCTGTCATGCCGTGCGTTCCACTTTGCGACGCGACACTCTCTTGAGCCGCTTGCAGAGCCGGACTACCCGCAGACCACTGCTATTTGAGGCACAGCCCTGTCTTTTTTTGTTTAGAGTCGGCAACAGCGTTGATCCCGACATAACCCGCAACCAGCCTCCCCGTCTCATTTCAACATACTGCGGACATGACTTCCTACGAGAAACCCAAGCCAGTATACTTTTGCTTTCAAATGCACTGCGCTCGGGGTTTGCCAGATAATATGTCTACGCGCTGAGGCTTTGACACCCCGGCTCCAAGGCGTCCACAGGATCTCGCGCACTCTCGCTTCGATCCTTCTGGCACAGTAAGGCGCCCGACAAATGCTTTGAGAGGCTTAGCGACGCTTCAGCTGCCCCTGACTTAATCCCAAAAACGGGAAAAACGGGTAGGCTGCAGGCTGTGAGAAGGCGGAGCACCAATGCAGCATGCAGTTGTTATTGCTGAAATACTCTTGAGGTCGCCGCGAACTGTCCACGGGTGTCTCGCGTCTTACCGTCAGTCCAACGCCAACTCACATCCCATTGACTTCGGAAATCCAACGTAGGGACTTGATCAGCACCAACACCCTTTTGCCATGGCACCCAGACGCAGCGGCGGTGGTGGCACCTATTACAGCAATGCTTCATGCACGCACGCCTTTACTACACCGTACGCTCAAGCCGCGCTTGCATTTGTGGTGCTGTTCCTGGTTCTGTACACGGTCATTTTCATATCGACGTTCTTTATCCGCAAGAAGAGCGGTGCCGGAAAGAAGTTGATTGGTGTGCCTTTCGTTGTAGCCCTTTTCCTCCAGGTCATGTAAGGACAGAGTATCTTTCCCAGGCTTTAGAAGTGCTAACATGCTCCAGCGCACGTATCTTGAGTCTCGTAAGCCAAGTCATGGCACAGTGCGACAATATCAACTACATTGATTATTGGAATATCAACGTTGCCTCCGCCATCATGAGCAGTTTGGCCAATGCTGCGCTGCTGTTCGTGTTCGTCTACGTCCTGAACTCCATGCTGCACAAGCAATTTGGGAACATGTCATCTGGTTCCAAGACCGTACTTCTGATTACTATTGGCGTTGCGTATGCTGTCATCCTAGCAGATGTTATCATGTTTGCCTACGTCGCATTGGCGGACAACTCCCTGGAATCCAATTGGGACTTTGCGTTACTAGTTTCGAATGGTCTCGATCTTGCCTACGACATTGTATGGATGATCGTTGTTATTATTTCGGCGGCTATGTCTCTTTCAAACGTTTCGGCACTGAGATCAAGACGCTTACCCGGAGGTGTAAGTCCATGGCAGCTACTCTGTGCTGGTACATTTGCTAACATCCCCAGGACCTCTTCGGCTGGGTTACCGCCCTCTACGTTACCCTATTCGTGAACGCCTCGTTGGGGGTAGTCTACTCATCCAGTATCTACTGGCCCGTAGTACCTTCCCTTGGCGTAGCGCTGGCTTTGTCTTACATCATTGGCTTAGCCAAATGTCTGGCTTTCATAACGCTACTGGGCATTGCCAAACACGTCTCCTGGAACCAGACGGTCGAGAAGACCGAACAAACTTACGCGCCCGTTACGCAACAGCAGGTCACGTACGGCTATGGTACTGGGCAACAGGATTACTACCAGCAGACGCCCGAACTTGTACATGTCAAGTAGGCGGAGGGTAGCTGAGGGCGCTCGACGAAGTCACACGTCATTCCTACTTTTTTTCTTGCATTGCCATGCTGTTTCGCTATATACCCAGAGCCTAGCTTCAAAACATAATGTTTGTACCATCCACATCCTGCATGATGCGCTAGACCGACCTTATTCTTTCAAAGTTTCTGCACTGTATGCTCTCCCAACTCTTCCGCTTGTTTATCCTGCATCTGGTGTATCATTGTGCGAAGCTCGGCCGCGATAACATCGAAGAGAGCTGCTTGCCCATTCACTCTTTGGTGCACGTGTCATTGTCAAGGTACAATTTGTGGAAATGGAGAGGAGCTCGTCTTTTTCTTCAGTCGACCGGTGTGAGATGGTGATTGGATGCGGAGGCGCGGAACTCAGGGATTGAAACAGGCAGGCACACCTGAGGGCCACATGCACCTGCACTGGACCCAAGCACTACGTAGGACACCTATCAGGTCTGTACGCGAAACAATTGTCGCATATCTTTGCCTGCATTGCTCACAGCGCTGTACAGCATCGCATGTACGAAGGCATCCTCATTGGCTCTAATCCTCAAGGCAAGGTCTTCACAGCATTCAGCCACGCCTCAGCCGCAGCGGGTCATGCAGGCACTCAGCCTTCCTGCGAAGCCTGCTTTCCCACTCGATCCGCCCTTATCTTCGTGCTCAATCCTAGCACTTGCAATGCGACACTTTCGAACGGACAAGTAATGCGCACACAGCAAGTACCCTATGATGGCCGAAGTCATAGGCCTCGCAGCTAGCATCATCCAGATTGCGGGGGCTGGCGCCAAGCTCAGCGTCGCGTTGTACAACTTTACAAACTCAGCCGCGCGGGCAGACCAAGACGTCAAGGACATTGCCGATGATGTAGAGCTCACATCGAATGCGCTTGAAAGCGTAGGCAGGGTGTTTGAGTCCGAGGAGGCCGGATCCATCGTGTCGAAGAAGGCTATCCAGGACGCTGGCAACATCATCAAGAAGTGCCAAAGCGTCTTCGACGAAGTATCAGAGATGGTAGAGAAGAGGAGGAAGGTTGGCAAGAATGGAAAAAAGAGTTTGAGCGTGATGGGTAAGCTGGCTTGGCCGATGAAGGAACAGCGGGTCGAATTAAACCGAAGGAGGCTCGAGAGTTTGAAGAACAGTCTTGTGCTTTTGCTACATGTTTTGCAATTAGCCCAAGGCCAGGCTCGAGGGTGAGCCAAGATAGTGCACTGCTGTGCGCACAATACAGCTAACATCAGCGACAGAAGAATGGAAAAAGGTGTCTTGGATGAAGAGCGTGACAAGATCCGCGAGTTGCACCAACGACAGCAGGACTCACTCAAAAGCCTACAGGCCCTCGAAAATAGATTCTGCCATATCGCAATCGATGACGAAGTAACCCTCCGAGGGTCAAGCATCGCCTCCCGTGTTCCAACTTTGGAGCTTATGACTAGCGCTCCCGTTATGAAGCTCCCTCCGCTAGAGAACCCTTCAAAGCCTCAGAAAGACACCATTAACATCGAACTCTCATCCGCAGATGATTCAGACACTTCTGATAGCGACGCTACGATGTCAGGCGATGATAATGAGGAGCAGATCTCGACCGAAGAACTGGCAAGAGCAGCGGACCATGTGAAGAAACTTCTGAAGCGCATCACAATGTTACAGAAGAGCTTTGGTGTCGACAAGAAGCAACATCGAAAGCGACACGTACACAAGATGTATATACGCTTCTGCCGAAAGTTTGAACCAGGAATTAAACCTTCGGTGAAAGAGGCCAATTTCGGAGAGTCGAGAGCCGGTGATTCCTTTGAGTTATACGACAGCGGGGGTACTTTGGAGTGCTTTGACTTTGACAGCTTTCTTCACGTTCCGAGGGAGACCACGCCGTTTCAATTGCTTGATTTCAATTTCCCCGCAGAACAGCACTCAGAGCCTCAGCAAGCAAACCATCTCGAAACCATGCCATCGATACAGGCCTCTCAGCGCCCGCCTCTTACATCAGCCGATTCGATCGAACCAGTTCTGTCATCCTCTGCGCAAATGTCCCCCTACCCTCCAGTGCCGAGTGGAAGTGCAGCCTCAGACTTTCCGTTGGATCTGTCTAGTCAGCAACAACGACATAGTCTTGGTCAAGGACAGTCAGCACTGGCTCAGCAGACTCCTGAAACATTATCGCAGACGTGGGCGCGGATTCAAAGGCAGGTGCAATCTACGGCTCAACAACAGGCTCAAGCGCAGCACCAACAAGCTCATTCGCATGCTGTAATGCAGCCAACGTCAGGTATGATTCAAAACCTGCCTAGTCCTGCTATGCCCATGCTCAACAGGCCCATGCTGCCACCAGCCTCTACTTCTAGTTCTTCTATGCCGACTTACAGCAGACCTACGGTTCCTGAGATATCTCAGTCATCACAAAGCGGAGTCGAAAGCTCGCTGCATACCCAGTCTCCTATGCTGACCGCAGATTCAACTCTCTTACCACAACCGCGGAGCGCTAACACTGCGCTGCAAGACTATATGTATCAGTTGATGTTCTTGAACTGTCGGGAAAGGAGAAGCAATCCACCTCCTGAACAGAAACAAGATGGGGAAAGCCAGTTGATGATGGATAGTTCGATGATAGAGAGTGTACCTGTTCAGTCTGAGAAGAGTGAGAGAGAAGATCCGCACTTACCTCCACACGTCTATGGTTGGCCGAGACCAGGCTCTCGCAGAATAACAAAAGCTAAGAAGGGGAAACGTGCATCAACCCGGAAACGTGGGTTATCAGAAGAGCAGAAGAGCAATGCGATTATAATGCGCTCAGTGGGAGCCTGCCACAACTGTAAAAGCCTTAACCTCAAGGTAAACTACATCGTAGCACTTTCGCGTATTGTGCTAATTGGCCGTAGTGCGATTATGACTATCCGTGTGGCAGCTGCATAAAGCGGAACCTTGGGAAAGAGGAGCTTCCAGAGAGAACCTGTCGTGGAATCAATATTGCCGAGCATACTCAAGGCTTTCCTACTGGACCTGAGAACACTGCTCCACAGCTAGGCGCTCCTGTCCCATCCAGTTCATCATCAGGATACGTAGAGCCCGATGCGGAGGACTCACCTGGAAGTGAAAGCCTCCATACCCGCGAAGAGAAAAGAGTCGTTAATAGACCTTCGCGTATTCAGTACCAACGGGAATACTCACGGGCTGGTTACATGTCGGTAGCAATGGAAGCTATGACGCCGGCTCCATGGTACCCGTACAATCTCAGGTCATCCTCTTCGAGTGGATATGCACGGCCGATGGCGCCGTCCGACTTCTCTGTGCTTAGCAACCCGTCTCACCAAGCCCGCACGCCTTCGAACGCGTCCATGATAGATCCATACCCGTCACGGTTGCCAGATGATGGAACGGAGCAGGACGCTGGCCAGCGTTCGTCAAGGAAAAGACGGCGTTTGGTGAAAGATGAGGATGAGCCCTGTACCAAGGATGCTGCTGACCTAGTGTTGAAGCTAGAGGAGAATGAGGAGATGAGGGAAACCGAAACGGCCTCGAGTCCAGTGGACAGAGACATCGTTGATGTGCTGCTCGAGGAATGGACGGTACCAGTGTATTGACGGCTACATGCCCCTCAGTCTTGTTCCAAGACTGCGCAACGGCTTCACATAGTCGTATCATTCCAAAACTATCTTGGCTGTGACACTTAAGATGCACATCAACCGACTGCTCGTATACCCTCAGAGGATCATTACTCCACCATCGTAAACTTCACTTCCCTTGCGCCCTCAAAATCGATTTTCGTACCCACCTCCAACCCTGCACTACTCCAAGAAGCAAGGTAGTCCATTACCTCATCGACCGTATCCTCCGTCCACCACCACGACCCGCCCAGATGACAGAGTATATACTCCTTCCCAACCTCTAGCTCCAACCTACTTAAATTCCCGCCTCCGAAATCCAACTCTCGGTGCTCCGTATACGTTCCTTCGAATCGTATAAACTCGTGTCTTTCATTTTCGTAATGCTCTCGATATACATCTAGACAGGGTTCGAGCTTGCAGCGCGACGTTGCGTCAAGGATTGCCAAGTCGGATTGAAGAGACTTGACCCATGCGCGATCTGCATGGACTGTAAAGAGATACGCGGCGTCCGTCGAGAACGTGAGCGTGAAAGCGAGTTTCTTGGTGGGAGAGGAGAGAGAGTAAGTCGATGGAGCTGATAGAGAGACGGTGACTTTTGGTGTCTTTGGTCGCGAACTTCGGGTCTCGAAGATGATTGTGTCGTTGCCGTTGGCGGCCTGCCAGGATATAGTCGGTGTGGCTGGTGTAGGAAGTTCATACGCAGATAGCAAACCGCCCGGGCTTCTCGAAAGAGAAGTCGAAGTATTCACCGCGCTGACTGGCCAATGCGAAATTGGGGTTGTCGGTTTGAAGCACAGTCTGTACTTCCTATCTGGTCGGAGAGCAGTAGTAATGAACTGCATTTCGCAGGATTTACTGGGCCTCCCTGTCGTAAAAATGACTTCGCTTTGGTCTTCACGAAAGAGAACTGGCTCTGTGCCTTGGTGCACGACTTCAACTTCCTCACCCGTCTCGTTGTCGAGACACTGAATAAATTGGCTGGAGTTCATGGGATGGTAAAGCCTCGAGCCTGCGAGACCATCTTGGAGGTATATAACTCCCTCTTTGAAATTGTACTCTGCGATGATGAGGACTATGAAGAAGACGGGATCGTTCGAGAGATAGCATGTTCTTGTAACGAGAAGCTCGGCTTCAGCCCGCGGGCGAAAATCGGTCATTTTGTCGATGTTACCGGGTATCGGAATTACTATAGTCTTTCGATTGATTCCAAGGTCGTGTGTGACATGCGATCAGAGCTTGTTGTGGTTCAGAAAGTGTTGCAGTTCTTGACTGTGCCCGTCGGCTGATGTACACCAACTGGGCACTGACGTCAGAGGTCTCATCACTCAGTACCAGTAGAGGACGCTTCCACGCAGCACAATCAATTGAGCAACCATTAGGGCGTTCAAATCCAAATCCACTCTCTTCTCATCCTCTCACTTACCACCAGCCTACAGATCAACCCAACACTTAGTACACCTCTGCCTCGCCAAACCAAATGGCCTTTGTCCCTCCTCATCCTCCCAGTTCTCCGTACCAAACTCACTAACCACCCTCCCTTTAAACGGCTCCTCCACACCATCGCTCCAAAGATGCGTCACAGCATCCGCAATACACTCAATCTGAATACCTCTAAACCCCATCAACTTGGCCTCGCGCCGCAGCCAGCGCGCCGCGCCCGACGCAACACCCTCACCCTCATAGTCGTGGCGTGTAGACGTCGCGTTGCGCATCAGCACCTGGCCTGGTGCGGTAGCTTTCCACTCCGCTGGATCCCTCGGGTCGAGCTTCCTCAGAGCGCCGAAGAGCGGACCGAACTCTGGTATCGCTTCGTCTACCGGGCCCATCTTCGCGGGATCGAGAGGGACGAAGTTATCGTACGACAACGCTATGCTGACCAATGGGAAGTCCATCTGGCGGAGTAGTCTCAAGCCCTCTGCTTTCCGTCCTTGGGTTTGCTCCACGCTGTTCTCCTCCGGTTCGTTGACATCCCAGAACAGCTTCCCGCCTGCTTCTTTCGCCTCTGCGGTTTTGAATTCGTATTCCGTGTCGAAGACGCCGTAGGATAGGCCAGAGTCGATTTGGTGGGCTACGAGGTACTCGAGTTTACTGGCGCTTTCTAGTGTCCAGCGGCCGAGTGCTTTGTCGGGCCAGATATGCTGCCAGATCGTGGAGTGAAAACCGTGGCTGTGGGCTAGGATGGCTGTGGCCCAGGGGAGATGTTTGGGTCCCAGTTTACGGATCTCATAGCGAGGTTTTAGAGAGGAGGGGTTGGACGGAGTAGGCGTCTTGGTGTTTGTTGCTGGGTTGGACATGTTCGCGTGTGTGAAGACGAGAGCCTACTGGGACTGTCTCTTCAAGTAGAAGATGAAGGGGCTGTGTATTTATACGTTCCCACAGTAAGACACGTTGAGCTTCGAATGCTAGCTAGCCTACGCACTCTTATAGAGAATGAGGAGATGTCAAGAGCGACAACGTAACGGATAACTAGTACGTGAGTGTTAAATAACAGATAGTCCGGTGTGCAAGAAAAGGCGCGATTATAAATCGAAAGTTATGCGTGCGAGTGCGTTGGAGGGCGCGCTTCATGCATCAAGAGGGCTCAAGCGAATGACCCACGCATTCAGCGCAAATCGGCCAGCAAGGTTGTAAGCCTTATCCTAGGCTTCGCTTCTTCGTCCAAGAACGGTCCATAACGCGGGTAACAAATTTTGTGTCCAGACGCTCTTGCCCGCGTTGGGAAACCAAGATAGTGCAAAGCTGCGTGGCTTACGCGCCTGAATGCAGTATGTTGAGCCGACCCACACATGTTCCTCGTATAAAGTACTATACATCAAGATCCTTGTTGACCGCATGCTTTTAGCTAGGAATAGATTTGTGAAGGCCTCGGTTAGCGACAGACGTTACTGCTAATGATGATGTTGTAGGGCCTGCAAATTCGTCAAGAAAGTCTCTGTTCGGAATTAGTCATCAGATCCACGATACCCACGACAGTCAAGAGAAGTATGTTTCTTATTACAGGGCGCAAGGTGCACAGAGCTTTAGATTAGTCCTTTACCCTCCTGCAAGAGCGCAATTCCTCGCTCTTTTAACTTGAATTTCTGGATCTTTCCGCTCGCAGTCTTGGGGTAGTTGTCGACCCAAAAGACGTACTTCGGCACTAGTGCATACAGTCAGCATAGTTCCTAGGCGGGCCCGAGGCTTCGAATTCGATGTTCTAGGAGCTCATGGACTTACCTAAATGATGGCTCAATTTCTCCCTGTTCCAGTTTCGCACTTCGTCCGCGGTCACGTTCCCATCATCGCCAGCATGCGTAACTATGAAGGCTGCGACAACCTCACCGTACCGCTCGTCGGGTAGACCCACCACGCTAACCTCGCTGATAGCAGGATGAGCGAAGAGACAATTCTCGACCTCTAGCGGATGGATGTTCTCGCCCCCTTTGATGATCAGATCTTTTATCCTGCCAGTAATCTTGATGTATCCTTCTTCGTCCATGGACGCCTCATCCCCGGTATGCATCCATAGCATACCGTCTTCGTCCGGTTGTAGAACTTCCTCTGTGCGTGCTGTATCACCCCAGTACCCTTTCATGAGAAGGTAGCCTGACACTGCGAGTTCGCCGCGTTGGCCTACGTCAAGTGTACGCGACCAGTCTGACGGACTGAC